GTGTTATTCTGCAGGAATCCTGACACTAAAGGCCCTGATGCCTCCATATTGAGGAGCTAAGCTTAAAAATCAGGTAAACCCCGAGAATTCAGGTTTTGTCAAACTAAAGGACGAATGACATGGTAACAGTAACTATCAAATTACAGGTACTGAAGGACATGGAGGAGGTCCAGAGGCAAAGGTTTACAGTGCTTGTACTTGCATTGAATATCACCATCAGCTGTAGATAATGGACTTCAGAAACAAAAAAAGGAATTGGAAGAGAGTAAAGTATGCATTTTCTTTTTGACACTGGAATACTCCCAATTAAGGCAGCTTGAATGTTTCATTACATGCCTTTTTAGCTTATAGTCTGGTTTCCATAAACAGATGGTTAGTATGAAATATTAATCAACTGATTGATGTTACATATATATTGAGCTTCTCAGGACACCCAAATCACTCTACAATATGTACAGTAGCCCCCCCCCCCCCATCTTCGGTTGATACGATCCAAGACCTACTGCGCATGGCTAAAATTGCCAATAGCAAACTACCCGTGGACCCCATACACAGTGTGATTTGTGTACCTACATATGATAATTGGCAAATCAGGCACAGAAAGACATTTCTAACAAGTACATTGATCCTTATTATACCGTACTGTATGGCCTCTTGAATGAAGGGATCCTTACATTGTAGCCCAATTCTCAACATGATAGAGCAATGAAAAAATATAATTTATCTAAATTCTATGGATGAGAGCAATGAAATCATGCTGTTTAGACCCCTCAAAGAACACAGGAACAAGGGGAAAACATAGTTACACATTTAATTATTTTTTACCACGTGAAAACACGGATAACCGAAACTGCAGTTAATGAAACCAAGGATAAAGGGGGACTACAGTACTACAGATAGCAGTATGCATTAAAAAATGGCTGAATTGAATTTCACAAGATCACTTGTAAACAGGAAATAGCCATAGATACATACAGCACTGTTTACAGCAGATTTGTTCTGTACCAATGCACTGTGGAAAAAATGGGCAGCATTATCCATGTGTTAAGCAGTCTGACATCTAACAGCGCTTCTTGCGATTTTCTGAAGCTTTTCAACACAGGCTCTGTATGAGTTAATGAACAAGGGTGGTGAGTGTCCCCCCTTTAAATTAAGCTTACCTTTTGTACATACACAGTAGTGTGCACTATATAACAGATATATATATGTGTGTGCATACTACACTCGTACTGCAGTCTTTATAAGTACTTTCAAACACTAAATACTGTGTACTTTGCACCTTAATTCACTATTTAATTTTACTATTTGCTACTTGTACTAGTTTACTACTTTTTTTTTACTACTTTTACTTTTAGTGTTCGAATTTTAATTTGTTGTATGGATTTTCGATCTTATTTCGTTTTTTGTCTGATAATATTACAGTATTTTGATGGCGATAATATCCCCGCCATCCTGCTTTTGCCATGGAGAGATGGTAACTAAACCAAATAAAAACAAGGGGGGTGTGTTTGGTCTGTTGGTGCATGCGCAGTTGCGCGACCGGTCTGACACGCGCCTCTCGCAGCCACGCTAGCTGCTGTTACCGCGATGGCGTTTTCTGTTGCTCGTCGTTTAGCAAGACGGGCGTCAGTCGCCACGTCCTGCGCTCGGCGGCAGGTCTGCCCCGGGCTTGCCTCGCCTCACGTCGAAGGAGTCCGGCTATCAGGACAAAGAGCCCTCCACTACAGGCCGGCTGGCGGCGTTATACCCGAAGGAGCCGGCAGTGCGCTGACATTGAAGGGGCTGAGAGGTGAGAGACAGAGAATTACATGTGCTCAACGGCAGTTTTTCCCTAATCGTGCCACGGCCTCATACCTGGATCTAATATGAAATGGTTAACCTCTGAATCTCGGAATGCGTGCTTTCTGCAATGTCGTTTTGGGGGCGGGTTTTAATGCAGCTCGAACACGGGATTTCACTTCCGGGTCATAGTCTGCCCTTGATGGTCGTCACCAATAACTAATCACAGTTTAAACAGAAGCAAACGCTTTTAAATGCTGGAGTTTTGCTAGATCAGTATATTCCAGCCTCATTTTAAATCTGCGAATAATATGAGACAGACATAAAGACATTATTTGTCTTTATTTGCAAGTATCTCTTCATTGCTATACGTCTTGTTATGTATTGATAATACTTTATGACTTAGTGCCCGTTGTGGCTGTCGATTTGTGTTCCCTGCTCTAGTGTTGTGATTAACCCCAAATAGACGAATATGTTCTTTATCGGACATGAAACGTTTCCTTAAAGAGTTTGCGGTGCTGTGAGTATACAGCGCTGGTGTTATGGTGTCTGCATTCTGACAGTCCTGCAGAGGCCTCATGCCATCAGCGCATTGTCCTTCCACACTAGCACCCCTGTCACCAACAAGGATGACTTCTATCAGGTGCTTGGGGTGCCTCGCTCTGCCTCTCAGAAGGAGATAAAGAAAGCCTATTATCAAGTAAGTGATTGCCATGTGTACTCACGCCTTTGTATTCCTGTTCCTTGAGGGCACAGCACTTGCTGTAGATGAGTTCAGTCAGCTTGACGGCGTTTATGAACATCTGTATGTGGGTAACCTCTAGGACTCCAATTTCTTGTTGCACCCCAGAAATATGCCTTTAGGTGAACTGGAGTGTATGACAGTGTGTGTTGATGTGTGCAATGATCTCTCCATTCCAATGTCTTGTGTGCTGTGCTGTGCTTTCTGAGATATACCCTAGGACAGGGTTATTCAAATCACGGTCCTCGAGGTCCGAGCACTGCTGGTTTTCCAGCCTTCCTTTACCTGTCAGTCAGGTGTGAAGCCTCTGACCAATCAGAATCAGTAATTATTAAACAACTACCTGGGAGAACTGAAAGCACGGCCTGGATTTGGAATCGAGGTCCAGAGTTGAAGAACCCTGCCCTAGGATAACTGCGATAAGCACCCAAGGCAAACTGGTGGATAGATAAATACGGAGGATGACATGATAGTATTCTATTCGAAATGAATGTAAACAGCACTTTATGCTCAACACTTCGATTCAGGCAGCTTCTACACGAGTCGGTCACGCTGCTTGGTACCAGGTACCAAATGCAGCACCACTGATTTTGTGGCAGATGATGAGTTAATCTTTTTTTTTTTTCTCTTCTCAGATGGCCAAAAAATACCATCCTGATACCAATAAGGATGACCCCCAGGCTAAAGAGAAATTCGCCAAGCTGGCAGAAGCCTATGAGGTATGTGGGGAAATCAAGTTTGTCACTGAGTAAGAGTGCTTGGCTCTCTTGTGAACTGACTGGACTTCTGTAATAAACAAGGATGATATTTGCGGCTACATAGCTCAGTGATGGAGTAATCCCAGTGTGTCATTGTTAGGAAAGTCTGATTTCAATCCTTACTGTAAACAAGGGTATAAAGTTTTCAAACGGTTGAAATCTCACTGGGAAATATCTAGAAAAGTGGTTGTCAAATTTACAACACGTACCACCTCAGAAAATATTAGACTTTCTGCTTACAATTGCTGAAATTT